GATTAGGTTTAGAATCTCCCCTTCACTGGTATGACCTTATGAACCTGGCAAAAGAGAAATCGCACTTCTCAACAGGATCACACCCACAAGTACAAAAACCAGGCAATTTCAACAGCCTCGTTTTAGGAGAGTGGGCACCGTGATTCCATAGCACAGGTCTAGTCACACGACTTTGTTCTCTGGTCATTAGTAAGTATGTGGCCATAACCGTGTAAATCCTGACTATCCATTTATAATTGGCAGAGAGGCAGTTCAAATAAGAAAATAACTAATGAGATTACTCTTAGTGAGGAGTACTCATTAAGAATTAGCAAGCATCACATATATAACTTGAATCTTACTTTGTAAGACAAGACGTGAGTCTGTGCAGAGTTGGAGATGGTGAGGGAGAGGCGCGTGGGAGGGAAGGAGAGAGGAGTGATTTTGGCATGCTGTGTAGTAGAGAGGAGAAGAAACGTTCAGGGGGCACTCATGAAAACAATTAAAGAGCAAATGTATTTAAACTTAGAACTGCCCACCAGAAGCACTAACATAAATAATAAAAATTGGAAAGAAGAAGGGCAATGGTAATGTAAGTGTACTAAAGATCTGATTTTTTCCCTTCATATTAGAAAGCATTAAGCACCATAACACTAACGAGTTATAAACAGTTACACACCCCACTGCTAACAGAAACCTTGGCACGCTGCATCCACATGGGGAGACTGCAGAAGAAAGAACTGGCAGCCTTCTTTTGAAAACCCAATGGGGCACAATTCTACTCGGGAGACACACAGGGATCCCCATGAGTCAGAATCCGTTCAGTGGGAACCGGTTCATTGTGGTGGTATGAGTTTTATATATTAAGGAATCTAGAAATAAAGCAAGGGCATACATAAATAAAACATAGACAGCTTAATGGTTGAAGGATAAACAGAAATAAAACATTGGATGCTAAGGCTATTGTGTAGGTGCTCTGCGGCAGAAATCGGTGTAACGCAGGTCCAGCTTGCTTCCCTGTCGAAAACCTCCTGCAGCACACCTTAAGACGTCACTGATGTCAGAGTTGGCTTGATCCGGGGGCCAGTTTTTCAGTACGGATCCCACCCGACTCCAGCATCCCCATCTCTGGAAGGGTGTGAAGAACATGAATGACTCCCCTTTCCGCTTAACAACACCGAGTATCGAAGTACGCTGTACATTTGTTAAAAACTTTTAAGTGTGGCTGTGGTGAGTCATTTGGGATGGCAGTTTTATAAATCTGCCACTGGAGCCATCCAGTGATTTCATTCCTCCAACTACACATTCTGCAGAATGTACCTTACACCCCTGCTTCCAGGATAGCTTTGGAGTCTGTCTAAATAACCAAACCAGAAATGAGACTCCCTGCCACCAAGTCTATTTCAATGCATAGAGACCCTGGAAGACAGGGTAGAACTGCCCTGGTGGGTGTCTGAACATGTAACTCTTTACGGGAGTAAAAAGTCTCATCTTTATCACACGGAACAGCTGGTGGTTTTGAACTGCTGACCTTGTGGTTAGCAACCCAAGGTGTAATCACTCTGCCACCAAAGAGAAACACTGAGCACTGAGCAGAAGGCCCTGTGCACAGTACATAGAGGGTGCTCGTATCCACTTACAGACAGTCCGTCCTGTTGTTCATTTTTGCCTAGGTTCCTTTCCGTAATTGTAATTCCACGAAGTGACCCTGTCCAGTCTCTTGATGCCAGCTTCTTAATGGTCTATGCAAGCTCCCCTGAAAACATCAGTGTGGTGTCCACCCTGAAAAACTAGACCCACAATCAAGTCCACACTGAGTCATTGCGACCTTACAGGAGAGAGGATTTCCAAAGCTGTCATCTTTGCAGAAGCAAACCACCTCATCTTTCTCCTGCCAAGACCCTGTTGGGTTTGAACTGCTGACCTTTTGGTTCGTGCCCGAGGGTACAACCACTGTGCCATGGGGCTGAAGTAGCAGGAACTGCCCCAAACGGCCTTCATTGGGGGTGCATGTCCTGGCCTGTCCTGGCCTGTGCTCCCAATGCAAACCTGGCTTGGATTCATCATGCTCCCTTGGGCGCCTGTGATTCTCAGAGACTTCAGCACTGAAACATGTCCTGTGAACCTTGGCAATTGCATCACCTGAACCCATAAGATGTCAGGGAGGAATGTTGTGCTTCTCTCTTTCTGTGGGACAGAGATCCTATATTAATCCCATCTCTGTACTGAGATTACAACCCCCGTCCCCCAAAGGTTCATTCCTTCTCAATACTGGAGTTTCAGAGAACTCTGGCTCTCAGACCTTTTGGAAAAGATCCTCTTTGACCCCGTGGTCTCTTTCCCATGTGCCAGAACCTACTCTGTTTTCCCTGTTGCCACAACGTAAGTGCTCACGGTAGATAATCAGCTAGCTGCATCTTCATCCGGCGCTGAACCAGCCCAGAGGCACGCAGACCCAGTTCCCATGTGTGGTGAGGCCTTTGTACTCGCCTGCTGTGGGCTGTGTAGCAGAATTAATGGTCAAGGTAAAAAGTTTATTCTGAGAACCGAACGATGTCTTCTCTTTGATGATCTGTTTCCTGTTCCTGACACCGGTGCTTAGGGAGCGTTGAATCCTGCCCTCGGCCTGCCGCCCAGTGTGCTGCTTTATTTTCATTCTGGCTGTGATTTGCACGCGAGGCGGCTGCTGATGGCAAGCAAGTGGCTGGGGACCAGAACCTATTTGTCCCAATTTAAAGGGGCAAGGGGGTGGAGAAGGGATCAACTAATTTGAGAAAAATCAACTTTCCCTTTGTTTCATGGAGGAGCCCTGGTGGCGTAATGGTTATGCATTGGACTGCAATCTCCAGGTCCTCGGTTCGAAACCACCAGCCTCTCTGAGGGGGAAAGACAGGGCTTTCTACTCCTGTAAACATTTACAGTCTCAGAAACTCCAGGGGCAGTTTTACCCTGCCCTCTACGGTCTCGAATTGAAATTGACGTGATGCCCGCAAGCTTCCTTTGGCTCGTTTTGGTATGTTTCATGGCAGTACACTTTGTGTGCCTCGATGCAGGCGCCGCAGCTCCCTAAAGCAGGAGGATGGCCGGCATCCAGCTTACTCAGTAGGAAAAGAGTCCTGGAAAGTCATCACTGGGACCACTCACTCAGCACTCACTCAGTGGCCCAGGCCTTACCTGTCTCTTGAGTGCATCCACCTGGTGTGGAAGAAGACGCGGGCCGAGTAGGAGGTCAGTAGGGCATGTGTTCATGTGCTCGTGACCGCATGGCTGCCTCTCAGGCCTTTGTCCCAGCTCTGTGCAGGCATCCCTCAGGCTTTGACTTCCACCTGAGGTAGATTTGGGAAGTATGCATCTTCCCTTATCTGTAACTGTTCCGTCTCCTACAAACTGCCCAGGTTCCTCTCAGCTCCGTTTGGAAGCTCTTTTAGGAATGC